CTGGTCTCCCATAGTACACACAACATGGAAATGCAATTATTTTAGTAAATATAATAAATATCTTTTCTCATCAGCAGTATATAGCAGTCTTGTGACTTCTATCAGCTGATCACTGATTTAAGCATGTAAGAGTTGTTCATTCTCTTCTGACTGTCCTATGAGGCTGTATAATCTCTGGCCCTCTGTCTGGACAGTGCTGATTGGCCCCGTGCTGATCACCCCCTCCCCCCCCCCAAAAAAAACTCTCTAGCAATACACACTAAACTGAGCATGTGAAGAGTGACTCCTAGAGCTCTGTACTATCAGCAGATAGATTGAGGACAGTTGAAGAAGGGGAGGATCAGAGAAGACAGGATGAAATATTCTTCTTACACATTGCAGAGGATTAACCCCTTAGGTTCCACAGTGAGTATAACAAGCATGCTTTACTGCATATACAGACTGATTTATACTGTTGTGGGTTTAGTAACACTTTAAAGCCCTTACCATCATGATACCCTTCCTACTAGGATTGAATTATTATTCCTCCATACATAATGGATGTCCCTTTGTCTTTTAATAATAAAAACACATTGTCCTCTGTCTTGGTCCTGGAATAAAAACACATTGTCCTCCAGTTTGGTGTAAATGCAGAAAGTTCATGTCTGCTTGGAGTAAATGTTTACTGATGACAAAAGGTAAGAAAATGGCCTTGGGGGTGTTTATGAAGTGGCAGTCAAGTGACTCCACTACTCCTTACCTGTCTGAATAAACAAAGTTTCCATGGAGAACTAGATGACCAGCCACCCACTCTCATTGAAACAACTTGTCAGTAGTAAATTCGGCTGCTTCTATAAGCAAGCTGCCCCTCTGATTTTAAGGCTTTGTTGGTGAGGGTGAACATTTCACTCTATTCTACAAATATGCACAACCCATTATCTCCTTCTGTATTGTTCTCCAGCATTGACAGGTCCAGGCGCCTATCATTGATGCATATCCCACCACCGCCATCTCCTCTGCCAATACGTTCAGATCCCACAGAGATCATCTTTGACCACTGGGGGGCTGGGCTGTTGATGATGTAACTCTTGCGCATGTGCGGTGTTACATCATCCCTGGCATCTGGCCAATTCCTGGAACTATACTGCACATGCGCTGTACAGTCTGTACAGGAAAATAAATTGGTAGGAGAATAAGGAAGGAGATTTTTGGCAGAAGAGACTATGCACATCCCTTCTGCCAAAAAATCCCTACCTCATGGCAGTTTATGAACACACAGGATGTCAAATTTTTTACAAGCTGGCCCACTCCATTCTACGGAGAAGAGGAAAATACACAATATGGCCAAGAGTTTGTGGTCACCTAACCATCACACCTTAATTATGTGGCTAAAGATATGTGGGAGTTCAGGGGTCTCCAGGAAAAGGGTCCTGTTACTACTACATCATATAAAGACATTGTAGACAATTGCATCCTTCCTACCTTGTGGTAACAGTTTAGCGAAGACCCTTTTCTGCTCCACCATGAGTGTACCCCTGTGTACAAAGCCAGATCCATGAAGACATGGTTTGACCAGTTTGGTGTTCTGACCTCAACCCTAATGAACATCTTTGGAAATAATTGGAACAATGGTGAGCCAGGTCTTCTCATCCAACATCAGTACCTGACCTCACAAAATGGGTACAAACTCTCACAGACACCCACCAAATTTTGTGGAAATCCTTCCCAAAACACTGGATGATGTTAATGCTGCAAAGGAGGGGACAACTCCATATTAATGTCTATGGTTTTGAAATGGGATGTCCAACAAGCTCATATAAGTGTGACAGTGAGATGTCCACAAATGTTGGCCATGTTGTGTATCAAAGTACCACACATTGCATCAAAGTCAGCTTTGGACAAGTATCACAGAGATTCCCTTGAAGACAAGTCAATAACTTCCCTCACCTTCTGTTCCAGCAGAGTTATCTGCCCATCTAACATTACCAAAGAACTGAAAATAATATAATAAAAATGTAAACAAAACAAAAAAAACAGAAGGTAAAGTAAATTTAAATAAAATGAGAAAAAAAAAAACAGAAAAAAATTAAGGCAAACCTGCCAAAATCCAGTAAATGATGAGCAATGCCAGAAGGATGATTTCCAAGGGAGTGGCAAATTTTTAAATAAAACAACTATAAGTTATGACGTTCAGTGCAATCAAAACCGCCATCTTGGAGTCAGATAAGCATGCAGGTGGATTTTTGTGCCACGTTACATGCTATGCTATGTTGGGCTGGGTTAAACTCCATGGTCCTGTAACAGCCGGGCATAACCTTTGTTGGCAGAATCTTGTGGGAAAAGCAACACTGGCACAGGACTCAAAATTCCAGGTAGGAGATCAGGGCAGTGAATCCAAAAGACTGGCTGCTTGAGGGAACTGTAAGAACATGTCAAGTAGATAGTGTGAAGATGAAGAAAAGAAAACCACAAACTTTCAGTCTTTACATTTTAATTAACCTTTGCGGCCACAGGAAGGTTCCTTTTCTTAGACAGCGGCCTTTCTCAACCAGCATTTCATCAGAGGTTGTTAGGGGTTCCATGAGCAATGTTGGATTGATCTCCTGCTTGATGGTGCTTGCATAGATTCTGTACCAAAGTGACTTGGCACAGCCAATGCACAGGACTATTGGGGCCTCTCTATTTGGCTGACCGTACATGTCTCCACATTCTCTCATTCAGTAAAAGACAATTAATTAAGTTAATTGATTTCTCCATCCATGCAAATGGTGCGGATTTAGCAAAATCCACTATTTACTTTTTTCCAGCCAGGTGTTTTTGTAGGGCCACCATTGGCTTGAATTTCAGATAATTCAGCAGGAATCTGATATAACTCAGCCATCTGTGAGGGCCAACTGCCAATCAGATAAGTAACCTCTGACACAATTTTTTTAATTGTCTGTAAGGGGGAAAACTCCCACTAACCATCAATGCCAGGGGCTTTCTTCCTGCTGACCACCAATTTGCCATAGCATTCTTTTAATTGACTTCCAATGTAGGAGCATTCTTCCTACTACCACCCTGAAATTCTTCCCACTGACAACCAATGTAAGGGAAATTCTTCCCACTGACCACAAAATGTATGGTAAGACTCACATCTATCCTTTCAGCCCCAAATCCAATCGCTGTCCAAATCTTTTAGACTTCACCTCCACAACATCTCCAAGATACGTCCGTTCTTAACCTCGGAAACTACTAAGCAACTTATTCACTCCCTTGTTATTTCTCGCCTTGACTATTGTAACGCCCTCCTCATTGGCCGACCTCATCGCAGGCTATCCCCTCTTCAGTCTATCATGAATGCTGCTGCCAGACTCATCCATCTTACTAACCATTCTGTATCTGCCACCCCTCTCTGCCAATCCCTCCACTGGCCTCCATCCCTCTCTGCCAATCTCTCCACTGACCTCCATCCCTCTCTGCCAATCCCTCACTGGCCTCCACTCCTCTCTGCCAATCCCTCCACTGGCTTCCCATTGCCCAACGGATAAAATTCAAAACATTAGCAATAACATATAAAGCCATTTATAACTCCGCCCCAAATTACATCACCAATCTTGTCTCCAAATATCACCCAAATTGTACTCTCCGCTCCTCGCATGACCTCCTGCTCTCTAGCTCCCTTGTCTCCTCCTTCCATGCTTGTCTCCAGGACTTCTCCAGAGCTTCCCCCATCCTCTGGAACTCTCTATCCCAATTTATCAGACTATTGCCTACTCTGCTGACTTTTAGGCGATCTCTGAAAACCGATCTCTTCAGGGAAGCCTATCCTGCCCTCAGCTAATAATGGAATCTTCTACTCCTCCTTCCAGTCCATCCCCCACAGTTACTACCTTTTGTACCACTAGCCCCTCCTCTCTTAGATTGTAAGCTTCAAGGAGCAGGGTCCTCCTCCCCCTCTTGTATTGAACTGTATTGTTGCTGTATTGTCTCCTGTTTATATTGTAAAACGCTGAGCAAACTGTTGGAGCTATATAAATCCTGTATAATAATAATAATAAGGGGCATTCTTCCCACTGACCTCCAATGTAAAAGGGGAATTTATCCCACTAAGAAGCATCCTTTCCTCTGATCACCAATGGGGAAAAACTCCCAATGGGGGTATTCTTCCCATTGACCCCTAATGTATGGAGAATTCTGCCCACTGATCGCCAATTTAAGAGCAGCACTTCTCCAATGAACCCTACACTGACCACCAATGGAAAGTGACAATATATTTTTTGTTGTTTGCATTTCTTTAAGGACCAATTTTTTTTTTATTAATTTAATTTCCTGATTATTACTTTAAATCATTTTGTTGTATATGGAAGGGGAGTGTTATTCTCTTATCTTTTAATATCTACAATTTATTGATCACGACATTTAACAAGGTTTCCCTGAGAATTATTTTTAAAGTTCCTCCATGGTAACAAAGGTTAAGAAAGGCTGGGTGAAAGGGTAATCCAATTTACTTATGTACCTGTTGCATTTTTTTTTTAGCTAGAACAGCGATGGACCCTGATAAAGAGAGCGAATGACTCCTGAAACACTGTGGCTTCTGGGGCTTTATCTTTTCTGATTAAGACTCAGAACTTTAGGGCACACGGGTGATCAGCATTATTTATGCTCATTTGCTCATGTTTATAGGGTTGAGCACATGTGGTTTTGCTTTCTTTATCTTCACAGTATTTATTGGATTGTATGTGACAGGACAGTAGATCTCTACTTGAATGGAATAGTTTATGTCAAATAGCAATGAAAGATCTCATCTTATATTGCCTTGTGTTAGGTACTGATCTGCAAATAAATGCCCTTGTAAGGGGTAAAAAAAAGCCTTGGTACTGAAGAACCAGTAAAAAAAAACAAAAATGGAAGCAACGGCCAACTTCTCCAGTGGACAAAATGACTGTCTGCACGACAAGTACACTTTGAGTCCACACACACGGAGGGTTAAAGTATTTTTCAGTCCTTGTAATGGGATCATTGTTCTTGCTAGCCACCCCTCACCATCCTCTATCAGAGTGCCTTTTCGTCTTGCTTTTTTTATTCCTGTCGTCGCCTCTGTTTTTCAGCATGCAAACGCAAGCAGAGACGCCAGCCACGGTCTTGGGAAGATCAGACCCTTTCACCCATTTTTTCCTGTCTTTGTCGTAGACCTGAACCATTCTGGAGAATGTGGTGTTCTCCCAGCTGTAGCCACCCAGGATGTAGATTTTCCCGTCCAGGACCGCCACGCCGGATTCGCTGTTAGGCTGAAGAAGGGGAGCAATGCGCACCCACTGGTCGCACTGGGGGCTGTAGCACTCTACGCTGTGGATGTCAAAGCGCTCCATGGAGTTCTGGTTGTCATCGCTCCCCCCTATGGCATATATGCTATCATCCAGGGTGCACATGCTGTGCCAGCCCCGGGCAGTGATCATGGGTCTACGCTCCTCCCAGACATCCGCCCGGGGGTCGTAACACAGCAGGTTCTTCCTGTAGGGGCCGATCTGATAGTCGTGTCCTCCGGATATGTAGATGAAGTCCTTGTGGACGGTGCCTGCATGGCCATATGTGAATCTGAAATATGAGACATGGCAAGATTGTAACCAACAAACTCCAGATATTAGACCTCTTCCTGCTCATTGCCCCATCCAGACCCTACTGCCAGCCAATCAAACATTCTCCTTGCCCACAGTTCCTGCCAGATGACAGTAGGTATATGACCCTCCCCTTCCCACCAAAGCTCAGAACCAACATTTTGTGGTAGATGGAAGCCATTGGTAGGTTGGAATCCAAAAAGTTAGGACACCAATCGGGAGGATGTATTAACTGCAACAATTGCAACACTTCTAGTCCTGTAAAATGAGGAAAGGTAAGAAACTCTGTCAGGCAATAAAAACTTGACAGAACTGTTAAATCTTCCCAAGTCTTTAAAAAACTTAAATAAAAAGCTTTGAAAGGAGTTCAATTCTAAGCCTGATACCTGTATGAATAGAGATATTGGTGTTGGGTTTTATTTCTGGTACCTGTATGAATAGAGATAGCAGTTCTGTTGCAATTAAAGTGCAACGGCAGACAAAAGTTCTTGATAAAGTAGGTAATAGTTAGAACCCTGTCAGGTTTTTATTACTAGAATATGTATATCAGATGCACTGTATTCGACATATCAGTGAGTCATCTCTGGAGAAAGTCAATGGAGCTCACAAGCAGAGCAGTAGCCCCAGTCAACAAAAACCGGGTCCCCCTTAACTAGGGGACCCAAATATTGAGATCCACAAAACTATAATGAGAGTGCCATACCAAGAGCTAAAAGCCCCAAATATTTTAATGTAAGTGTCTGCTCATAATAGAACAACGGTCAGCACATTTCGGAGGTTCAGAAGTATTAGCAGTTTTTGCAGCTCGCTTACCATAATTTTGGTGGGCAATCTGCTAATAATGCTCTTTATATCACAAATACAAGTATTAAATATCTAAATGAATCCAGCTACAAAATATGTAATCCCTGCTGAAGGGGGAGTGCCTAAACCCCCAAACTGTGGGTTTTTGTTATGTTACCTTGTTGAGAGGCTTCCCCTCACTTCCTGTCTAAGTGACAGTTAGAGCAATTTAAAATACAGGTACACAAGCAACATTAAAAATCTGGTTCAACCCCCTTGCTTTTTTAGATTTAAATGCTTTTCTAGCTATGTGTCCCAGTTAGGGCATTCTTGGTGGACAGCATCATTATGAGAGGACGGAGGAAGGGAGGATTTTCCTGTTGGGGACACAGACAGCAATAAACTACAAAGAAGTATACATTACAGTATAACAGGGCACCACAGCAATGACTAAGAGCCCAGGTCTTTATTTCAGCAGTCAGAAAAGACAAGCCACCGTGTTATGGGGGCTCCAAAGACCTTCCTTCATTGGGGCTAGAAGAACATGAAAATTTTGCTGTTAATAATAAATAAACGAGAGATCTTGCTACCTGGCTTCCTACCCTGACTCGCCTTGCTGCTCCTGCTTTCCTAGCCTAATCATTGGATTGTCCTACTGCTTCTGAAAAAATATGTACCTATTGCCTACCCTGACCTTGGGCTGTTTCTGGATTAAGCTGTGCCTGCTGCCTGTCCTGACCTCTGGCTTTTTCTGGTTTAGGTTGGGCCTGCTGCCTGCCTTGACATTGGATTGTGTCTGGATAACCACTTGACATGTGTACCACCAGCCCCTGGACTTTCGTATGGATACTCTCCTATTGTGCTATCCATGGATACTCTCCTATTGTGCTGTCCATGCATACTCTCCTATTGTGCTGTCTATGGATACTCTCCTATTGTGTTGTCCATGGATACTCTCCTATTGTGCTATCCATGCATACTCTCCTATTGTGCTGTCCATGGATACTCTCCTATTGTGCTATCCATGGATACTCTCCTATTGTGCTATCAATGGATTCTCTCCTATTGTGCTGTCCATGGATACTCTCCTATTGTGCTGTCCATGCATACTCTCCTATTGTGCTGTCCATGGATACTCTCCTATTGTGCTGTCCATGCATACTCTCCTATTGTGCTGTCCATGGATACTCTCCTATTGTGCTATCCATGCATACTCTCCTATTGTGCTGTCCATGGATACTCTCCTATTGTGCTATCCATGCATACTCTCCTATTGTGCTGTCCATGGATACTCTCCTATTGTGCTGTCCATGGATACTCTCCTATTGTGCTGTCCATGGATACTCTCCTATTGTGCTGTCCATGGATACTCTCCTATTGTGCTGTCCATGGATACTCTCCTATTGTGCTATCAATGGATACTCTCCTATTGTGCTATCCATGCATACTCTCCTATTGTTTTGTCCATGGATACTCTCCTATTGTTTTGTCCATGGATACTCTCCTATTGTTTTGTCCATGGGGTAACTCCATTTCCTTAACAGAGATTATATATTCAAGCTGATAGGCTTATGATCTAACTACAGTGCCTCTTTGTATGCCGTCACTTCATCTAATATGGTATGGTATTTGATTAGGTCTGGTGTTATTAACCATTTGGATGTAAGGTAAATAATTGCAATGGTATCCAGTCATATTGTTGTGCGCAGTACATTCCACTCCAATAGGCATTAATTACAGCTGAGCATGCATTTATTATATATTTGAATAAAGGTTATATATTTTAGATTCATCAATTGGCCAGATGGTGCTATGGCCCAAGCCAGCTACTCCTGAAGATCACGGGTACTATTTTCTGTTACCTATGCTTGGTCCCTTGTGCAACTAGGCCAGAGACTATAGCACTGTGTGCCAAGACCTGGGGGAGCCCAATACCGGCATCCCTGCCTTCCCCAACATAATAGGGGATGCTAAAGGTTGAAGCCAATTTTGCCAGGTAAAGTTTCTGACCTTGTCAGCAGGCCGAACGTTACACTCAGATACAGTTCCTGTACATTAGAGAACCACAAAAACCCCTGCAGAGAAACAGTCCACTAGGACTACACTTATACAAAATAATCCAGCGCACCCCACCTCCACTACCATTTTAAATCACAAAATAAGTCCCTTTATCAGTATCAACTGGGGTTTACCTGGGGAGCTCCGACACGTAGGTCCAGGCATCCACACGAGGGCAGTAGATTTCCACCGAAGACATGGCCCCATTTTCATTTCTCCCGCCCACTGCAACCATCTTATCGCTCACCGAGGCCAAGTAGAAGTCCACTCGAGGCTGGTTCATGGCGGCCACCTAAAGACACAAGACCAGTAAAATGTGTGGGTTACTTTAGATCAGCATAAGCCAACCATTCTCATCTAGAGTTCCTGTAGAGCAGGAATCTCCAATCCTTCCAAAGGGCCAGTTTACTGTCCTTTAGGCTTTAGAGGGCCAGACTTTGCCCAATAGGAATAGAAAATGACCTGGTGTCAGTGGATATAATCAATGTCCCATTGTTGGTATCAATGGGAGTAATAGGGCTTCATTGCTGGTGCCTGTGGGAGGAAGAGTCCAAATTGCTGGTGTCAGTTTAAGGAATAGTGCCTCATATCAGTGGGAGAAATAGTGCCCCATCATTGGTATCACTGGAAGGAAGAATACCCCATCATTGATGTCATGGGAGAAATAGTGCCCCTTCTGTGGTGTCAGTGGAAGACAGAATGCCCCACGGTTGGTGTCAGTGTGAGGAATAGTGTCACATATCAGTGGGAGACATAGTGCCCCAAGGGCTGGATAATAGCAAGCAATGGGCCACAGTCGGCTGCAGTTTGGAGACCACTACTCTAGAGGCTGCAAGGGGTTCACTGAGCTGTGGCTGACTGACCTCCAATTTGATGGACCCTGCATAGTTCCTGGACCAGAGCCAGCAACATAATGCCAATGGTCTATTTAGCCATCTGCTAGGGTGGCATTCTAATCACCACTGTATGGAGGGCATTCTTCCCACTAATCACCAAAGTAAAGGGCATTTTCCTAATGACCCCCTAAGGATTAAACATAGCAAGGGTTTCCCAAGACCTTACAATTATTTCAAAGGTTCCTCACTGTTAAAGGTTTGCAATAGGCCCTGGCATAAGCAATCGATCCCTCTGAGAATTCATTAAATTGTTTTACATCACTCAAATGGGTTGGAGGTCTTTGGCACCGTGGGGGGTCTGTAAAGAAGTTTTTTTTTCTTTTTTTTCTAATTCTTCCAATGTATTTGTTGTGTGTACACATTCCATGGATTTTGGCTGACTCATGGCTGACATTGGAGCCTCAGACCTCCCCAGGTTTATTTGCTCAGGATGAGTCACTTTCAGTGCCATGACCCGGACTGTGACATATTTTGTAAATATACGCCGTGCTGAAAAGACAATTCCAACCGAACTCCTAAACGCGACACTAATACTAAGCGAATGTTTTATCGCTAAAAGGATTGTACAGTAATGCAGGCACTCTTGTGACACCGCCCTTCCCTACCCTCCACGGTTCCTTTTATACTGTAAAGACCTATAGACTGTGTGCCCCAGCCCCACCCCCACCTGCTTTTTGGACTTTTTGGTCTTTCCCCTAACTGGTGACACCACCATGAGATCTCTTCTTCTTGTAAGTCTGTCTAAGAACCTCCCCCTACCAGACTCTTACAGATCAGCCAGTCCCACTGCAAGCCTGATTTTCACTTTCAACTGGGGTGTGGCATCCCAATACATAGATAGATTTCAAGTCCACTGGCAGACCTGAAAAAAGGATTTTATGACCATCAATAGAATACATTAGTATTAGTAAGCAGGTAATGCTCAACTCCAGCCAAAATTTGGGTTGGAGTCTCTGCCAGGTTTTTACTGCAGTTTGTGTTCCTATTGCTGAGAATCATTGCTCTACAGGAGGAATATCCAAACGTTCTAAACAAAGGGACAGTTTACTGTCCTTCAGGCTTTAGGGGGGGCCAGATTGTGGCCAGTGGGAGTATAAAATGTTACATCATTGGTTTTAGTGGGAAGGAAAGTGTCCCATTGTTGGTATCAGTGGGAGGAATAGAGCCCCATCACTGGTGAAAGTGGGAGGAATGGTGCCCCATCATTGGTGTCAGTGGGAGAAATAGAGCCCCATCATTGGTGTCAGTGAGAGGAATGGTGCCCCATCATTGGAGACAGTGGGAGAAATAATGCCCCATCATTGGTATCAGTGGGAGGAATAGTGCCCCATCATTGGTGTCAGTGGGAAAAATAGAGCCCCATCATTGGTGTCAGTGAGAGGAATGGTGCCCCATCATTGGAGTCAGTGGGAGGAATAGTGCCCCATCATTGGTGTCACTGGGAGGAATAGTGCACCATCATTGGTGTCAGTGGGAGGAATAGTGCTGCATCAGTGGTATCAATGATAGAAATAGTGTCCCACTGTTGACATCAGTGGAAAGAATGGTGCCCCATCATTGGGGTCAGTGGGAGGAATATTGCCCCATCATTGGTGTCATTGTGAAGAATAATGTCCTACCATTCAGGTCAGTGGAAGGACCAGTTCCCTATAGTTGGAGTCAGTCAAAGGAATAGTGCCCTATCATTGGGGTCAGTGGGAGGACTAGTGCCTCATCATTGGTGTCAATGGAAGGAATAGTGTCCCAGGGGCTGAATAAAGGAATAAAAGGGCTACATCTGACCCCTGGGCCCAAAGTTTAGAGTCCACTGCTCTACAGGATGTCAACAACAACCATATAGGAGAACCCAAGCAGCTCCACCCTAGTCTGGTGGATCTCCTACATGCCAATAATGAATCTATAGCTGACAGATATTGCATATAAAAGATATTCCTGTTTTCTGGGACTCACAAGATAGAATGTCATGAGAATCTCTCCAACGGGGACACACATAATTCCATTTTTAGTAGGGTGGATAAGTTAGAACTTCTGGCAGTGTTTTTATTGCTATATGTGTCTTCCTCTCTCAGTGACAACTGTGTACTCATATATTTTACAGGTGTTACAGGAACAGGAAGTGAAGGAGAATCCTCCAATGGGAACAGAGACAGAAATAAAGATCCTTTGAAACATTGTACCTTATTTTATTATTATTATTTTTTTTAAATTGCCCAGTTATACTTTCATTTATATCCCATTTTAATTCTACAGTACATGGCCACTTGTAGTCTCCAGCACGGGTGCATGCAACAGGGTGACAACACAGGAACACAAGTGGGAGTCTGAATCCTTTTTAACAGTGAAGAACCCTGGGTGTTGTCACCCTAGAGCAGGAAGTGCCTGAACATAGGAGGACCACCAGGTGTTCTGTTAATGAAAGCAGACTTAAAAGGACTGTAAACAACTTTCGCCATTATGTCAGCACGTTAACGACTATATGAGACTTTGGTGGTTCATTTTAAATCTACTTTTTAAAAAACATTAATTGTACGACAGTAACAAGCGTTCACCCAGCCCTCACGATTTTTGACCATATATCACTTAAAGCGGAGCTCCAGCCAAAAGGGGAAATTCCGCTTTAATGCTTTGTCCCCCGCACCCCATTAAGGATTGGCACCTTTGGGGAGTGGGCACCCGAATTTGACAGGTACCCGCTCCCACTTCCTCTGCCTAGGCGATCAGAAGCGGAAGTTGTCCTCCCCCCCCCTCCCTCCCCGTAGTCTTCTGGGATACGTGACAGGTCCCAGAAGACTACTGGGCCATTCACAAAGCGCAGCGCTTCTGGCGCATGCGCAGTGGGCACCCGGATCTGAAGCCGCAAGCTAGCACAGCTGGGTGCCCACACTAAAGATGCCAGCGCCGAGGAGAGAAGACGGTGGTGAGGACACCGCTGGACCGAGGGACAGGTAAGTGGCTGTATTTTAAAAGTCAGCAGCTACAGTTTTTGTAGTTGCTGACTTTTATTTTTTTTTTTCAGCTGGAACTCCGCTTTAATATGTTGATCATCTATGATCATCAGCTCCATCTAGTGGCAATAATATACATATTTTCCTAAATTACCTCAGTCAAGAAAGTATCTCATTATGCCCAGTAGATGGTGCTGTCGGTCATAGAAACTGAACATATTAAGCAAACATAGAATTGGCGATGGCTGGACGAATGTTTGTGACTGTTTGCAGGGGTGTGGACATTTTTGAAAAAAACTACTTGTCCAGGGACTAAATCGGTGTCCCAATCTACTTGTCCCTCATGACAATCTACTTGTCCTGGGAAAATTTTTTTTTTTTTAACCAAAACTGTATTTAAATCTGCTTTAAGTAATGTCTGAGGCTTTTAAAAACAAAAGGGGTTTTATGGCGACCTAAACATTTAATATTTTTAGCATTGAGCTGTTTATCTCCTCCTCTCCTCCCTGCCTGTCTCCAGCACAGCACCCAGGGACAAGCAGGGAGGGGAGAGACCTTTCAGTATAATGAGCACTGATTGGTTGCTTGTCAGGAAAGGGGAGTGTCGGGCTTATCTTTTATCCCTCTTGCTGCCAGAGCTGTTTTTGCGTTTTTTGCATACGTTTAAAAAAATCATTTCAGGCCTGAAGATGACACAAAAACCCCAAACATTATATATTTTCTGAAATCAGAGACCCTAGAGAATAAAAAAATATAAAATAAAATAGTGGTAGTTCCAATTTTTTATGTCACATGATATTATCACAAAGGTCACAAAATTTCAGTAAAAAATATACTTAATTTTAATAAATTTTAGGGCACAAACAGCAATACATTATCCAATTTTTCGGTAAAATATAAAAGATAAGATTGCATCGAGTAAATAGGTATCCAAGCCCTTTACAGGTCATCAGTTTAGCTTTAAGGAGGAGGTCTGGTGCTAGAATTATTCCTCTCATTCTGGCGTGCACGGCGATATGTGACATGTGTATCACAATCGTTGTTTTCATGTGTAGGCACCCCATAACTTTTACATTTGTATGTGCATACATATGTGGGGTTGGGGGCCTTGAAACATTTTTTTCCTGGGGGGGGTTATATGCTTGGGTGTAACTTTATTTTTTTAAAAATGACAAAAAAAATTTCTTGCTTAACCTTCTTTCTTTTTTTATCACATAGGGGACAAGAACTTCCCTATGTGATGATTTTTGGTGACAGGTTCTCTTTTTTGAGGTATCCAGGGTCTAAAAGACCCCCAATGTCTCCCCTGTACTACACTGGATGTAATGCAGTGCACATCGCACCACATTACATTCTGTCCCGGCCTTGATGGTCGGGAATCTGTCAACGGGGACCCGGAATTGACATCACATCACTTCCAGGTCAGGACAAGAAGGGGAGCGGATGTGTTCGCTCTCATCTCTCCCCTATACCCACCGGCAGCCACTGACTGGTCCCGGGCCTGCAGACAGGCAAGCAGAGCCCGGGAGACAGCAGGTGGGAGGGAGGAGGCTGGCACCATAGTGGGCTTTTTGGGCCCTAGCTTCTTTAAAAAAAGACTTCTAGGTATATTGGGCTTGTGTTGAAATTATATTTTTTCTCTGATAAAAACTCATTTGTTAGGGGCCAGTCTGCTGCCTTCCTAAAATCTTTTTGCACAAAACCTGGTCTATCTTACCAGATTGCTAACCCTTACCTTTGGTCACCATTAACAAACTCATCTCACCTGGATCCACTGACCACAGCGAGGATCAAATCTGTAGAGGACGTTGGAGGCCGCGTCCCCGCCATCATCAATCGAGAAGCTCCCACCAGCGACATAGATGAAGTTACCCAGAGACGTGACGCAGTGGTGGCTCCTTCTTGCAGGAAGTCGAGTCTCTGAAAGCCACTGTTCCCTCTGAAGGTCAAGGCTGTAAACATCATCGCTGAGCTCCAGACAGTGTTCAGAGACCTCCCCGCCTATAAAGAGCAGCCTTTCTGTCCCGCTACGAAGAGTGCTGCGGACGTTCTGGAGGAGCGGCTGTGCAGCCACATTGGAATGGTAGTGGATGGCTTCATCCACCAGGCCCTCACAGCTGGCGTTTTTCGGCAGGAGCGATGTCATGGCGGGTTTCACCCGATGCACAAGGTCACTCTTGGAGATAAGTGAGAATCGGATGTTCTGCAGGACCTGATAGGCTTGGCTCTCTCGGTCGGGGTTGTGGGTCAGCCACTGAAGAGCGGACTGTAGAAGTTCATGTTCACTAACATGTTGAACCCGGTTGCTCGCAAGGTACTGGCACAGCTTCTGGACACTGACGTTCTCTAAGTAGTCATTGGTGAAGGCCATACTGCTGTAATTGTTCAAGATGAAAGAGTCAATGTAGGACCCAAGCCGATCCAGGCTGTAAATGGAGGCCAGCTCCTGTAGATAGAGGTAATTCTCCTCGTTGACCTCGCTCTCCAAATATTCGCAGCAGAAATCCACCACTTTCCAGACTTGAAGGAGATGGGCCGTCTCAAGGATGTAGTCAATGTTGCCACCATCTAAAGTCAAGTCGCTGCTGTACAGGAAGTCGACGACAGCTTTGAGGCCAATGTAGGAGGCCCCAACCAGTTCCACCTCAGTTTGGTGGGCTTCCTTCATGCCAATGGTGAACATGGAGTTGAAGTAGTCGCTGCAGGCGGACAGGACATTTCTGTGGGCTGGGACTCTTTGGTCGTCGGCCACCAGGATAACATCACAGAACAGTCCCTTTTGCCTTTGTTCATCCAGGCTGTGAAGGATTTGTCTGGAGTTGTCAGGCCACTGATACAGCTGGAGGAAGAAAAGTCACCATCAGTACTATAGTATACCAAAAATGGAAACTGAAATGCCACACTACTGTTAAAAGGTCCAGATATGACTTTATTCCAATAAAAGTCAGGGAACAATCCAAAAAGTAGCCAACGCATTGTGGGGGTCAAAAATGACCCCTTTATCAGTGCTAGAGGAAAGATAAAGACACCTCCATACCCATACAATATCCATATCATCATGCCATAAGTATTATGACTGAAAATTGTCTGTACTGGCAACCACTTTTTCCCTTTCATCTTCTACTTTGCACTGGTACATTGAGTGGGATATTGTTGCTGGAACTGATCTGTATGAAGCCAGAACAAAATGAAAACTGGATTCTCCTCCTTGACAACACGCTATTATTACATAAAAAAAATTAAAAGGTCTCTTTACTGCTCTATGCAATGCAGGCAGATCATGGCTTGTGGGAGGGGCCAACAGGATGCTGTACATAGCTTCCTAAAACACTAGATTCTATGGTATCACCCTCTTTGTGAGGTTGAGCCATCATGATTGAATGAACTGAAAACCAATGAATTAAAGGGGCATGGAGGAAAAAGCTAGATAATGCTGGATGTCCTCCAGCCAAAAATGAGGTGGACTTTTTCGATCTTGCTACAGCTTCTATTCCATATTGTTTGTATATGGAGAGATGGACAGGGCCACCGATAGGGGGATAGAGCGGCCTTCCACTACTGGGCCCATACCTGGGCCTCATGTGTGTAGAAGGGGCCTGGGGATGGAGAGGACAATATTTAAATACCTTTGGATGCATGCATAGTGATCCTATGGGCCGTGGCTCCCAGCAATTAACTGCTTTACCGCCGCCCTATAGTAGAAGTACTGCTACAGGGAAGAAGGGCTGTGCAAAATCACGTATACATATGTGATTTGCACTTACGGGTAGGGTGCGCACTGCCCTACCTGCGCCGCCGTTTGGCAGCTAGGGATGTCAATCACCGGGGCCCGGCCGGAGATTCCCCGCCAGCACCCGGCGATCGCCGTGCAGAATTGACAGCGGACAGACATGTGTATAATCAACACAGGTTTCTCTCCTGCCATCAAGGACATGCTGCTTTGTATTTCTCTACATAGCAGAGAAATACAAAGCAGTATGTCTCTGTTGTGAAACAGCACACAACACACAAAGCACAAAGTTAACCCTTTGATCACCCAAAAGTTAACCCCTTCTTGCCCAGTGTCATTAGTACAGTGTCAGTGCTTTTTTATTAGCTCTGATCACTGTATTAGTGTCACTGGTGATGTCAGTGGCAGTTAGTCAGTCCCTTCCCCCCCCCCCCCCCAGTGTCAGAATGCCCCCCACAGTCCCAGTATAAGTCGCTGATCACCGCCATTACTAGTTTAAAAAAATTAAAATTCCATTGTGTATACCGCCATTTGTAGATGCTATAACTTTCACGTAAGCCAATTAATTTACATGGATTGGGTTTCTATTTAGCAAAGACATGGAGCAGAATACATTTTGGCCTAAATTTATGACGAAATTTGATTTTTTAATTTTTTTTTGGATATGTTTTATTGCAAACAGTCAAAAATATTGTTTTTTTTTCCAAAATTGTTGGTCTTTTTTTGTTTATAGGGCAAAAAATAAAAACGCACAGACAATCAAATACCACCGAAAGAAAGCTCTATTTGTGGCAAAAAAGGATGTAAATTTATGTACAGCATTGCATGATCGCGCAATTGTCAGTTAAAGTAACGCAGCACCGTATCACAAAAAAATGGCCTGGTCAGGAAGGGGGGTAAATCCTCTGGAGGGCAAGTAGTTCAATAAAAGTTCCCCGGGTCCCATCAGTAGCAGGAACTGGGGACAGAGAAGAGGACTCATTTTCTGGAAACAGGCAGAGCCTTTTTAGGGGCAATTAAGCAAGTGTATGGGCATTCATTCATTTCATTGGCCAGAATATTAACGCATTTAGGCACCTCAACTATTTCTTAGCAGGACAACGTTCCTCTCTTGAACCTACTGGCTCTGCTTTTTTTTTTCTGCCTCTGTACACTTGTGAAAATCTATTTGTGCATAGGGGGAGATTTACTAAAACTGGTGAGTGAAAAATCTGGTGCAGCTGTGAATGGCAGCCAATCAGCTTCTAACTTCAGCTCCTTCAATTAATCTTTGAAAATAAAACCTGGAAGCTGATTGGTTTCACTGCAGAGCTGTACAAGATTTTGCACTACCAAGCTTTAGTAAATAATTCCCACAGGCTACCACTGAGGGGAATTAAAGGCAAAAAAAACCCAAAATAGTTCTAAAAGTGGAGAGAAAAACATCCGGCGTGCTTGAGGGCTTACTGTGCAAGTGCAATAAGGTATTTAAAGACATGGACTGCCAGGCAGGCTGTATGTGGCCCCAAAATGTCATATATATATATATATATATTTATATATATATATATATATATAGCTTCTTTCAGCGGGAACGCAGTTCCGGCACCTCCAACACTGATCGTATGTAATGGCAAGGGGTGCTGAACGTATTGATGAAGGCTGCTGGGAGATCTATTGTTGCTGGGACTGACTCTGCAGACAGTTGGCGACTTCTGCGCACTGTGCGCTTCAGCATGCACTGACCCCGCTCTGTCATGTGACGTGGACTACCACTTGGCTGAGTTGCTGTTGTTCCCAGTTGCTTCCACTTTGTTATAATCCCTAACTAACAGTTGAGCGTGGAATATTTAGTAGCCAGGAAATGTCATGGATGGACTTATTGCCAGGTGACCACCTATCACGGGACCACACTTGGAGTCACTGAGCTCCTGAGAGCGACCCATTCTTTCACCAATGTTTGTAGAAGCAGTCTGCATGCCTAGGGGATGGATTGTATACACCTGTGACCATGGAGGGGATTGGAACACCTGAATCACATGATTTGGAGGGCTGGCCCAATACTTTTGGTAATATAGTGTATATAATATAATATATATATATATATATATATATATATATATATACAGTCAGGTCCATAAATATTGGGACATCGACACGATTCTAAAATTTTTGGCTCTATACACCACCACAATGGATTTGAAATGAAACAAACAAGATGTGCTTTAACTGCAGACTGTCAGCTTTAATTTGAGGGTATTTTCATCCAAATCAGGTGAACGGTGTAGGAATTACAACAGTTTGCATATGTGCCTCCCACTTGTTAAGGGACCAAAAGTAATGGGACAATTGGCTTCTCAGCTGTTCCATGGCCAGGTGTGTGTTATTCCCTCATTATCCCAATTACAATGAGCAGATAAAAGGTCCAGAGTTCATTTCAAGTGTGCCATGTGCATTTGGAAACTGTTGCTGTCAACTCTCAAGATGAGATCCAAAGAGCTGTCACTATCAGTGAAGCAAGCCATCATTAGGCTGAAAAAACAAAAACAAACCCATCAGAGAGATAGCAAAAACATTAGGCATGGCCAAAACAACTGTTTGGAACATTCTTAAAAAGAAGGAACGCTCCGGTGAGCTCAGCAACACCAAAAGACCCGGAAGACCACGGAAAACAACTGTGGTGGATGAGCGAAGAATTCTTTCCCTGGTGAAGAAAACACCCTTCACAACAGTTGGCCAGATCAAGAACACTCTCCAGGAGGTAGGTGTATGTGTGTCAAAGTCACCAATCAAGAGAAGACTTCACCAGAGTGAATACAGAGGGTTCACCACAAGATGGAAACCATTGGTGAGCCTCAAAAATGGGAAGGCCAGATTAGAGTTTGCCAAACGACATGTAAAAAAGCCTTCACAGTTCTGGAACAACATCCTATGGACAGAGGAGACCGACATCAACTTGTACCAGAGTGATGGGAAGAGAAGAGTATGGAGAAGGAAAGGAACTGCTCATGATCCTAAGCATACCACCTCATCAGTGAAGCATGGTGGTGGTAGTGTCATGGCGTGGGCATGTATGGCTGCCAATGGAACTGGTTCTCTTGTATTTATTGATGATGTGACTGCTGACAAAAGCAGCCGGATGAATTCTGAAGTGTTTCGGGAATATTATCTGCTCATATTCAGCCAAATGCTTCACAACTCATTGGACGCTTCACAGTGCAGATGGACAATGACCCAAAGCAGAATGCAAAAGCAACCAAAGAAGTGGAATGTTCTGCAATGGCCAAGTCAATCACCTGACCTGAATCCGATTGAGCATGCATTTCACTTGCTGAAGACAAAACTGAAGGGAAAATGCCCCAAGAACAAGCAGGAACTGAAGACAGTTGCAGTAGAGGCCTGGCAGAGCATCACCAGGGATGAAACCCAGCGTCTGGTGATGTCAATGCGTTCCACACTTCAGGCTGTAATTGACTGCAAAGGATTTGCAACCAAGTATTAAAAAGTGAAAGTTTGATTTATGATTATTATTCTGTCCCATTACTTTTGGTCCCTTAACAAGTGGGAGGCACATATGCAAACTGTTGTCATTCCTACACTGTTCACCTGATTTGGATGTTAATACCCTCAAATTAAAGCTGACAGTCTGCAGTTAAAGCACATCTTGTTCGTTTCATTTCAAATCCATTGTGGTGGTGTATAGAGCCACAAATGCTAGAATTGTATCGATGTCCCAATATTTATGGACCTGACTGTATATATATACACACACACACATAAATATGAATTATGCCTCTCGTCAGTCCAGCACTAGCACACACCAATCAGATTTTCACCATTTTCTGTATAGATAAGAAAAGTTCACTTTAAGGACTCCAATAGCACGAGTACACCTTACCTTTGATGATTCACTGATCTTGTGGGGGCGCGATACCCGGCTCTGTCTGGATCCCTCCATGGTAAGTCACCCTTAATAAAAAGGAACAAAATAAACTCATTGATTCAGGATTTCTAAGGGTTAAAAGAAGCTCTTTTCATCTCTTGTGCAGGCCATAGACGGGGAGAAAACCGGCCGAAAATTCGTCTGAAAGAATAATCGGCCGATTTCGTTA